TTAGCGAACATAGGGAACAAAACCGAAAGTGCATGTGGTGGGGAGGCAAAGGTTATAAAGAACACAATAGTCAAATTGGAGTTACTGTGGTGGGTTTGGAAGGTGATATTAAAGGACACAGGCTTAAAATCCTTTAGAAGGGATGCTTAATTAGTTTTGTTACTGCTGTAAGAACCTGTATACAAAGAAAAACAATCTTTGTATCGTCATTACATCGTATGCCCCGAGCACTTCGGGGGAATTTGGTGCCAAAATGCTTTTTAAGGAAACAAAAATACACTGAGGTTTGGAATAATAAACATTAATATGTTCAATTAAATCAAGATTATAGAGATTCTAAGCAAGCAGTATAAGGCCTAAAGTTCTGCAAGCAATTTAATTGTGTAAGCTTTAATCATATATGGAGCTTCAAGAGCTAGGCATGTCTTTTGTGGTTTCCTCTCCTGGACTTCGGTAAGCTAAGTTGCACTATTTTGGATCCAGGACTAAGGGTTCTTTATATATCAAATCCTAAATAACTGTACTAATCTAAAGTAGATGACAAATGGGAAGTACTGTGCCACAAGTAATACAAATATATAAACAAGAATCTGGTAGTAAGCACCCTACTCAGAACAACTTCTTCCCTAGGCGAGTTTTTTTCTGTCATGATTTTGCCCAGTTTCCTCTTTTCCTTCTACTGTTTTTCTTCATCCAATACTTTAAATTTGTCACAGCCTCATAAGTCTATCTCTAAAATGGCCTTCTTATAAGTTTCAGAATATCTATCTCCCATCTGAGAGATGCTTGCTACATTCTTGCTCTGATTTCCCTTCCCTGATGTTGACAAAATAACAAAAATTCACAACACAAAATACTGTTCTGTAGAATACAAGGAAAGACCTGAAGAAAACACAATCAAGTCACTGAAATACTATAGATGGAAAGGTATATTGTGAAAATATTTATATATCTATTTGCATACATATATGTACAGTGTATATATAGACATACGGTACTTTCAACCACTTGCAATTTAAGGTTTTCAAATCAAACAGGGTAGTGTTAAGGTATTTGGCTATTCTTATGGTTAACAAAGATAAAGAAGGAAAGATTAAGTACAGCAATATATACTTTCCAAGATGATGCGATGCTAGTGTGCAGATGTATTTTCACTGTATTCATTATTCTTCATGTCACTTTAAACATGTAACAACATAGGGCAGCTTCTTACCTTGTGCAAATATGGAAACTACTGTCTTTAAAGATTCACCAGCCTAGATTTTTTTCTTACATTTCTCTCTGCTCGGCGTCACAGTAACAACTATTTTTTCCCCAGCTTCCTTGCAATTCCTATAATTTTTCTTCATCATTATACTATTGAATTTTTCATTTCTGAAGTAATCCTTTGCATTAAAAGCTGAGTTTAAAATGGGAAGACTTTCTAACTGTGCTACTGCATTTAATTTAAAGATGTTTGGAATTATTCTTCATACTAAAGCAGAAGTCCCAACCTTCTGGGAGTGAGCTATACTGATGCCGCTCTCTGCACTTCCCTGCATCCTTCTCCTCCCTCATGGCCATTACCTCCCCAAACTTAGTTTCTTCCAGTCCTTGCATCTGTCTCCTCTGGACCCTTGCAAGACACTGAGGTTCAAGGAGGTGAGAAGGAAAGACATAATCGGGGCAAAGGAGCTCTGGGAACAACAGTACTCTACATGGCTGTGGATGGCTGGAACAGTATGGGGCAGGGGGGCAGGATTCTACTAGAGTGATGGAATTAGGTACGAGAGGAGAAGAAAGGAAAGAGGTTGTAGGGGGTGGAGAAGTGAAGACTCATAGCTGCAGAGGCAGAGCACCTGTAATGATATAGAGAGATACAGCCTAGCTTCAACTAGTGAAATAGGTTTGGAGATGTAAACTGGCCAAGCGGCACAGGATCAGAGGAGCAGGCTTCAGCCATAGGTTGGTTATTCTGGAGCTCCAGCAAACTGTCAGGAAGCTTGAGGCAGTACAGTCATCACAGAGGTTGCCAGTGAGAAAGGGAGAAGAGTGACAAGATAGAAGATGAGCTGGAAGCCCCATCTGGTTGCTGCCACTGTTCTTGTCTCCAGGGAAGAGGGAGAAGAGTCAGTAAGAATGGGCAGAACCAACACCAGATTCACACCTCACCTGAAAAGAAGGATCACTGCAGCAATTTGCTAGCCTACAATAGCAAACACTCCATGTACTTATTCTATATATGTACACTGTATGAGTAGGTGCTCGACATTCATCTGCAATGTTTCACAAAGTGTTAACAAGAACAGAGATTACCTTGCATAATTCAAGCTTCAGATAAGGGACAAGTTTTCAACAACTGTACTTACATCTGTACAGAGACTGCAGATCTCGGGCAAGGATACAGTCTGATTTTACAACCTAATAACAGTCAGGAAGATTCAAAACATAGCTACTAAAGAAAGATAAGCTGTGGCAAGTAATGATTCAGTAGGGTGGTTCATCATCTTCAGCATGCCATTACTGGATCAAGGCTTCATCACACTGATAACTGCCACTGCAACAAGGGATGTGCTATACTCTACTAAATGTAAAGTGATGGTTCTGACCACCTACAGTCATTAAAGAATTGGGGTGGGGGCAGGGAGGAGGGGGAATTCAATTATTTTAGCCAGTATATTTTGGGCAGATTTCAAGAGGAGCAACTATAAAGAATTCTACTCTGGCTTCATTGGAATTACTGCAGATTTTGGTAAGCAAAACAAGGGGGTTTTGATTCTTGAGAGACAGAAGACGTTTACATTAATTTTATTTAATAGGCCACTGAGAGAGATTTTCAAAATTAGACAAGAGAGTAAGGCAACCAGCTGTTAGATTCAGCTGATATTTAAATGTTTGAATGTTCCTCTGAACATTTCCCTATAGCGCATTCTAAATTTCTGTAGTGTCATGCAGATAATCTGAGTATCTTTACAGAAACAGATTTAGCAGCAGCTTATATGCACATACAAGTAATATGACAAGTTTAATTTTCACTCCCAGTCTGTGCTTCTTGATTAATACGTCACACAGACATAGCAATGCTTATTATCTTCTAAATATATTTTCACTTTTAGAGTACTAAAATTCTAAAAGGAAACAGGAATTACAGACACCCATTAAAATGGGTGTCCCACCCCATCATCTTCTAAGAGATATACTTTATAACAGTCAGAGCAGACAACTCTTTTATATGAATATACATCTATATATATATATTTGCAATATTTCCTGTTAAACTCTTCTGGAGGAAGATTCAGAATACTGAATAAATGTTCTGTTATACATCAGACAATGTCTGCTGTGAAGAGAACATATTCCAAATGATATAATAAGCTTAATCAAGTACACTGCAGGTTGAGATGAATTTCACACATTGCCAACTCTTGCAAACAATCTCTAGAACAGACCAAAAGAACAATTTAAAATCAAAGTCATTACATTACAAATTATATATACTTGCTTACAGCTGCTGCTGTCCAAAACCAGAAATAACAGAATGACATGATGTTCACCTATGTTTCTAGAATATCCTATGTATTTAATAATTTGCTAACAGGTTTCTCCCACACTTAATTGGAACATATTTTCCTTATTGTTTTACAAGACCTTCTAAATAGATTTTCTTTTTTTATTTATTTAAAGAACAAATCTGATCATCCCCACTTACTACTGTCCAGGTAGCATCGCAAAGCAGTCTTGGAACATGGGAACGGATTTGAATGAATCTAAACCAGAAAATGCACTTCAAGAATATACATATTGCAATCACTAATGAGCATTCAGTCCACAAGACAAGACTAGGGCTGGTCCAAAGGAAAGCCTTCATAAGTTTTGTTGTGTAGGCACTGGATCTTTAGCATCAACTGTTTCACTCCACAGATTTTGCTCCACCCCTCATCACTACCTAACCTTAGATTCCAATGTGTTTCCCACTTTAAACAGGATGTAATTTACACACAGCATTCTGCATATTTTTATAAGTCTATGAAAGTTTTAGCATATTATCTTAATGTAAATGTACTGAGTTATATTTACTCTAACAGCTTTAAACTATACAACTGCATAGTTGATGTGTAATTTTCCTATTGACTTATCTAAAGTATTAATATTATATAACTGAAAAAATAGAGAACCTTGATCTACCATTTTCCCCCAAAATGGTCAATTTTCTTTGCTATACCACATACCTCTAGGTTTTTTCCCAAGTGAATACTTGCCCACAGCTTTAAAGTTTTCCTTGATTAAATAACCTGAAGCCACTAAGCTGACCAAGCAAAAAGAAAAGCCAGAACTTCAAGTCTATGTGTGTTACAAATAGTACTGAAATAGTTAGCACGATTTTAAGTGTTTTACCAGATCACATCTCTCGGGAAAACCCACAAAAAGTTATGCAAAAGTAGTAATAAGGAACTGTTTTAAACCCACAGAAGCAAGGACTTTCCAACTGAGAATGAAGAACCATACTCAACCAAACCTAACGCAGTAGGCATTCCAGCATATACGGTATCATAAGACCTCCAAACATTCAAGTCAATCTTCAAGTGAAAAAAAGAGCAAGGATGAGGGGTTTTAAGTCAACTATTCTATTGCAGTACTGAGTAATATTTTTTTTTTTTTTTGGTTGCTGTTTCTGAAGTTTCAGAATAAATCAGACAACTTCAGATTCGACTTTAGAGGAGAACAGTTACATAAGGAAAAGTTCCTGCTGAACTACAGTATTACAGTCTGGCACAAGTAAGGCAAAGGGTAATATATACTTCTCTAATAGCAAACTTGTTCAGTCGTTCTCACTGCTCCCTGCTTTCCACTACAGAACAAATGAGATCTGGGTGACTTTATCACACAGACTTATGACCTTGCCCATCCTCCCCAACATATAAAAAACTCTATCGATTACTATCAATTGTATTATTAGCCTTCAATTTCTTTGTTGATGGAGTTGTAGTGGTACTACAAATACAATTCAGCAAAGTATATACCTTATTTTGGCAGATCTGATGGACTGATCTAGTGTGAACTTCTGGTATCACTGCTGTGCTGCAGCCTGCATTAAGGTCAAAAACTTCCAATGCTCGGTTGCTGCCAGCTGTAAGTACAATATCTGTACAGTTGTCTGTGTTAAAGTTAAACTGATCTAAAGGAACAAAAGCATATAGACAGAAAAAAAGACAGATAAATAGATCTCAAGACTCTGTTGTATTTAGCACTCTATCAGCAGCACCAAAAGTCTTACAGTCCTAAAAAATTTGTCCAAGGCTGAAGTTCAGTATCACAAAAAAATACAGCATTTTTACTCTAATAGAAAAAGAGTAGTAAAGAATCAAATGCTAATTACTTTAACTGAAGTTATTTCCATGTCATTAAGTCCAAAGAACTATAAAGAAAATAAGAAATACAAAGGATACAAGAGTAGAAATCATTTACTGCTGAAAGGCTGGTAATCTCCATTGTTGAAGCCATGGGAAATTTCTGTACCAATTTGCAAACACTTCTCTGTTTGTATCTGCAAAAAATATCAAATGAATGTTAGTGGTAATGAAATAAGTTATGATTTGTGGCCACCAGTAAACTTCCATTGGAATCACAAAGCAAACCAAAATGCTTTCTTTTATTATTAAAATTTAAAGCCACAGACCTTTTGACTCATTGCTGAACTCTATTAAAAAACTTGGTAATAAAATTCATTTGGATGAAAAGAAACATGATATTCGTATGCCCAAGATAGATCTTCTATCAACATGAAACACTAAAATAATCCTGTATGTATACTGAAAATGTTGAAGAGAAAAAAAAATTGTCAAGTAGCTATGATCAAAAACCAGATATACCACTAGTTTCAGTATAGCATTTCATGTGCTGATTATAGGGGCAATAAGAAAGAAAACGAGGAGAAAATAGTGAGGAAAGAATAATTTCCACTTAGATGGGAACAGGACAAGGGGCTGATCACACACTATCAAAGAAATTTGGCTTCCCAACATAAACTGTCCTGTGGGATATCTTCCAGCTCCATGCAGATGTTGCAGACATGCCAAACCCTCTAAAATGGCTTCAGACTTATTTATATCACACAATGCAGAACTGTGTTGTGATTCAGTCTGATTAGATCTTTCTGTTTACTGAAATATGTCAGCACAGACATCATGGATCTGATCTTAAATCCACCAAAGTCAACAGAAAACATTCCTCCATGGATACAGATATGGATATGGATATGGATATGGATATGGATATGGATATGGATATGGATATGGATATGTTGGGCAAGAAGAGTGTGATTTCCATAGAAGTCACCTAAGGAATATAAAGAGAGTGGTTACTAACTGTACTGGGTCTGGTTAGGGTGAAGCTAATTTTCTTCATAATAGCTTGTATGATGCTGTTTTACATCTGTGACCAAAACAGTGTTGATAACACACAAGGTTTTTAGCTATCGCTGAACAGTGTCTGCACAGCATTAAGCTATTCTGTGTTTCTCACTGTGCCCCCAGAGTGAGTAGGCGGGGGGAGTGCAAGAGGTCAGATGTGGACATAGCCACGACCCCTAACCTGAATTATACAAAGAGATATTCTGTAACGTCTAATGCCAAGCTCAGAAACAAAACTGTGGGGAGGGGAGTTTTTTGAAAGTAGCCATTGCTCAGAGACCAGCTGGGCATCGGTCTGCTGGTGGGAGCTACTGAGCGATTACTTTTGCATCACTTTTTTTTTTCTTTTTTCTTCATTTATTAAACAGTCTTTATCTCATCCCATGAGTTTTTCTCACCTTTGCCCTTCCAATTCTCACCCCCATCCCACTGAGGGATCCCACTGGGGGAGAGTGAGTGAGCAACTGGGTGGGGGCTTAGCTGCCAGTGAAGGTCAACACACTGCAATAACTCAAAATTTCTACATTATATTCTAAATTAAGACACTTCTATGCAGTAAAATAATTCCAATGTAACTGTAAGTATTATACTTCCATTTTAGCATGTCTGTCTAATGACAATACAAAAGTCCATGCATGACACACTTGTAGGAATAATTTACTGTTTCTTTCCAACAATGCTAAAAGTTTGCAAATCTGAGAATATTTGACAAAAGCAATATGTTTATAAGCTGGATCAGTTCAGAAGAAAAATGGTTAATGAGTTGCTTTTCCTTTCTTTGTTACTCTCAAACAATGATCTGCTGAGCTTTTCCAGGTACACATTAGAGCTACTTCTGCAGCGATGGTGAAGCAGAAGGTAAAATACAGTGTTTTGCAATTTAATCCAAGAACATTTTATGGTTTCCAGAAGTATTTTATTCAAGTAAACTACAAAAATAAACTGCTCTAGACTTCAGGAACAGCTGATTTATCTCCATTTTTGGGTAAAGATATCCAAGCTAACTTTAAATAAGCTGACTGAGACAATAGGAACAATATGATGAAGGCAGCATTAAGCTTCCTCTGGTCTAATTTACCATGCTGAAAGAGGCTTACTGAAACAAATTGCTCCCAAATGCAAGAACAATAGTTTTGAGTTAGCTGAAGTATCTCTCTTCTACAGTGCAGTCTGCTACATAGATAAACACCTCACAGGGTGTTTCCCAGATAGAATTTCACCTAGAAAGCAAATCTTCAACCAACACAGTAAACTGAGATTCATGAAATACAAGTTAGGACAAAACTGAACCAAAGTAAAGGAGGAAAAAAAATAGAACAAGAGTACCCATTAGCAAAAAAGGAGGAATTTTAGTATATTTAAGACCTTATATTTTTTTGGACACAATGCATTTGCCACATGTCCTATACACATTCAGTTCAAAGCACAAGTCAATTAAAATTCAGCCAGGCATTGTGGACACACTGAGCTGGACGCTGTGCATTAGTTCTTGCCTCTTAGAGACTAAAGTTTATATAACCATTTGGGTTACCTTTTTATTGCTTTAACAATACCTCCATAAACTAAGAATTAACAGGCAACACAGAAGGTAGGTAATCAGATTGTGGAAGACAGGTACTACATAATTCAAACAGACACAAGACAAAAGCTTAAGTGCCACTCACTTGTAATTTATAAGAACAGAATTTGAGAATAAAAATATATGTTGAAATGTAAGCAAAAGTGCACAATCTACATTTTAAGTTAAAATAATTTCCTTTTTGCTATAGAAAAGATTGTTATATATCTTACAAAGGGCTTGTTGAGGAATTAGTCAGAAGAATTAATCCAGTAAAGGTCAGAAGGTGTTGTAATGTTTACCAAGACAAAGGTGTGAAGAGCACACAAAGGAAAAGCTTTTTAGATTGTTGAAAGATATTACGACTTATCAGTAAGAAGGCACATTTAACAAAATAACTGTGCTTCTGTCTGCAGAAAATCAACAGATTTCTGTGAATATAACAAGGGTTACTTTGTAAGTAAAAAAAAGAAGATAATAACAAATAAGATAAGAAATCTTCAAAAGGAAAGAAAAAAATATTTTTATTTTCCCATCAGAAATGAGTTCTGAAAATAAAATTATATACAACTAGATTAAGAATTCCATCTCAGATCTGGCCACTTTCCATAGATAAATTTGACAGTCTGCCATTAGCAAAGCTAATTCCTTTGTTGCAGGGTTTCCAATATGAACGCACTGTCACAGACAGTTGTGAAGTTGTTTTCAGCTATTACGAAACACTACAAGCCCTAGAAAATGCTGCACAGATGAAGGCCAGGAGTGTGAAGTCAATATAGGCAAAATTCCATCTCACAAGTCAACTGGGGAGGCTATTGTAGCATAAACACGCCCTAAAAATTGTCTAAATTAGACCAACACCTCCTCAAGCCACAGAAAAGCTTGTGATGGAGGCAAAAAAATGGATGAACAATATCTTCTTATTACATTTTTTCCAGGTCTCCAATTCCGTGCACAGGGCATAATCTCAGCTGACAATCCTATAGATCAGGTATCCAAATAAAATCACATTTGTGTTGATATACTCAAAACTACAATTCTGTCCTCCTTTAATGCTTTCAATCATTAGAATTCTGACAACAGTGTAAATGACTAATCTTTGTAATCTCTTCTATCCTGCATACTTTGGGGATGTAATAATTTTTGGGGAATACATTTACAGTATATAGTTATTTTCAGGAGACTGGTATATCTTCAGAAATAAAATATAAAACCAGATTCTAAGATACAAACAATTCCTGCAGTGATTGAAGAGACTGATGTGTCTACTTTCCAGCAGATTTTGAAGTCCTTTCCTGAAAGCATTTTTCAGGAAACGCAGATAAAGTAGAACCATTTTGATGATAGACAAAAAACTTCAATGTATGGAAGTATGTTACTATGTTAAAACCAGAAGACAAATAGGCACCTAAAAACAACCTCCCAAAAAAACAGCTTGATGCAGATCTGACATTTAAAATTTTAAGGAAAATGGCTGCACATGACAAAGTCAAAACTAAGTGACAGACCACAAACATCATCAGTATAACAGACCACAAGGTTTCAGGCTATTAAAAATATTTTATATATGCACTGTAAAAATTAATCTTCAAACAGTAGCCTCATTATACATTTCCAGACACAGCCTTGAGTTCAGTAAAATAAGAAAATCAGTAACATGAAAAGGAAAAGAATCACTTCATCTTCTGGAATGCTTAGAATTCATCATAACTGAAAAATATTCTCTCTTACACTACAGAGGAGGGTGGATGTCATTCACTGACCCTATGTAATGAATCTTAGACATAAGAAAAGACAAGCACGGGAAAATGTAAAGCATTTAGAGATGGTTGCTGTTAGAATGTTCTTAGAATTCATCTTATGACTTATGTACTTCTCATCTAGTTTCCATTCTGTTTCTGACAAAAAACGAAGAGTGTTTAAGTTCTTTGATCTAATGGCTAAAGCTCAAAGGAACCAAGCTTAGAATATTCTTATTATCATACTGCTGAATCAGGTCTGTGCAGCCCATTTACTTAAGAAGTTTAAACTGGCTTAAAGTGGTTTGCGTGAAAATAATTATGCTGTTAAACATTAATTTTCCAGACATACCTGAAATGAACACTCTCCTATGTATCATTAGCATGCTAAATTTTAAACCCACTTACCATGGCTTTTGCTTTCTCCATCTATAATATCTGCTGGTATAGTTTCCCATTTCATCAGAGTAGATATTTTATCATTACTTCCCTTACTGTATGTATGATTACTACAAACAGTTGCTAAATATAATGGCTTTAAAAGGCATTGTTTCTGTTACTGGAACACAATTTTCTCCTTTTTAAACTCCTTTCAAATTGCTCATGCTGATCTTTAAAACAACACATAAAACTATAAAAATGAGATAACAACCCATAGATGTTTTGTTCTGCTCAAATTCTTATGTAAATTAAAGAGAATTAAAAAAAAAAAAAACTAAGAAGCAAATAGTTACACTTCATATCAGCATGCACAACTGCTGATGAGAGTGGAAATTCAATAGTTAGCAATTTTGGAGAAGGCAAAGAAATTTGTTTAGGTTGTGAATCATTTTGAGATTAATCATAGAAGCAGAAGTCAGGAGATCTGTATTCTATTCCCAGAACTGCAATAAACCTCCTTTATGGCATTTGTAAATAAGGATATGTTTAAATAAGCCAATAAGGAATATAACATTCTTTTTCTTATTTCCACTTCTCAGTTTCACCTTTAAAACTGAACCAATGTTTAACCATTTAATTAAGTTGTTGTGATGCTTAGTTAATTAATACTTATGGGGAGTTCTCTGAAAACTCTGCACAGAGAAACAGTGATATGATTTGTCATTCTACTGTCCACACCTCTGAAATACAGTAGCAATCTATTGGTTAGCCAGACTGCATTGCCATGCCTTTCTAATTAAGGGTATAAAGCATGCTTAGATCTAGCACCTTCAAGCATTCTTCCAAATTTGACTCAGAAGGCAGAATGAGAGAGTTGTGAGAAACAAAAGGAATGATGCAGTGTTCCATAAAAGAAAGAAAAGCTGGGCAATGAACTGGAGGGAATTCACAAGAAAAAGTCAAGGCAAATTAACCCTTAAGACCTTTTCTTATAGCTATATATAACCAGGTCTCAGACTGGTTTGTGGATTTGTTGTAATGTCTACAATAGTGTGTTTGGTCTTTTGGCATTACACTAATATCCCAGAGAGTCTAATTGCATATTTTTGACTTAGTGTTAATGCATCAAGAAATACTGACAGCATGGTAATAACAAAAATCTGCTATAAGCACAACCCTACATACATACTTTAACAGCTTTAAATCAGGATATTATATGCTTCTAACAAAGCAATTGGAGCCACACAGAACACAGGCGAAGTTCAGTGCCAAAGTCCTTGCAAAGCTGTTTGAGTGGGTTCTACAATTACATCAAGTTCCATAGTACCTTTAGTTTCTGAACTAACTAGCTTGAAAGTAGTTCAGACCCGTCTTCCACAACAGTAACTGCAGTATGGATTTTCTTCAGGTTACTGGATGCTTTCCTCTAGGAGGCATGGGTATTTGTTAAAAAAAAAAAAAAGAAGCTATCTAGAACCAGCACATCATATACTACAAGAAAAGTTCCTTACTAAAGCCTAAGCCCCCATGAATAGAAGGAAAGAAATATTTTTAACTATATCTTAAAGCTGAAAGCAATCAGAAGAGGGAAGGATCTAAAAGATCAGAATATTGTTCTCCATCTTCTTTTTCAAGTTCCTCCATGATTGCCTGTATAAATTTGAAGAGTTAAGAATGGTATGAGAGAAGCAGTTGCCTGCCTCAGTTTCCAAATATTACTTGTTTACGCTATGAATAGATTTCAAGCAAAACTGGGAGCAGAAATCACTTTTCCTGCCTTCCAGGTTCCTCCTGTACTACTGCACTTTGCTACAGGGTAAGCACTTCAGAACAAGAGATCTCTGTAGAACCAGTTATCAGAAAAGAAAGTCAAGGGGGAAAAAAATCTATTTGCTATATTCCCATTCCACATAGAGTATATGACTAAAATAATATGAATAAGAGCCACAGCAACACCCTCCATTAAGGATTTTGACCAGAAATGGAAGGTAAAAAATCACAAGTAACAGTGGATTAACTGTAAAACCAAGCAGGTGACTGAAAACCACAATTTATTAACCATTTTGAAGAATTTCTGAACAGAACTTAGATCATAATCCATTAGCTACTTTTATAAGAAATTATAAAAAATTTTATATATTTTTATATTTATATTTTCCTTCTTTATAAGAAGGAATTTCTGTTCTTAAAAAAGTGTATTTTAAAAGAGTGATATAATTTGGCATTTTTTCTCTTTTTGTTTCCTGTATGACTGTTTGAAGTTTCAGTGAAGTTGCACCTACCAGGTTCATGCCCCAGTCCAGGAAAGCTAGTGGCAAAACTACCAGGGAAATAGGCCAGTTTCTCCCATCTAAGGATGCACCCCAGTACTATTTAATACCATGAACAGACAGGACACACCATTCACAATATCAACTAACAGACTTCAGTGTTGTAACCTTAATTCTGTTTGTCATTCCACTCAAAATAAAGAGTCATAACATCAGACAAAGAAAAATATCTCTTCAAGGTTTTTTTAAATGCTATTATGTCTAAACATATACATATATACATGCATATATATATATGTAATGTAATAAAGTCTTACATACACAAATACTGCTGAAAACCAGTAAAAGCAAATGAAGAGCAGAGAAACTTAGCAAAAGGATATAAGGATAGTTTTAGCTCCAATTATAAACTAAAAGAACAGAAAAGGTATATCAGACATTTAATAAAAGAATTTATTCCAAGTCAGAAAGAAGGATGCCTAACAATGAAGAAACACAGGGACAAAATAAGCTAATAAGAAAAGTAATTAGGTACAGTATAACAGTTGGAAGATCAGTGAAGATTATGAAAGTGATCTGCTTCCATTTGACAGAGAAGGAAGAAAACAGACCTTATTGCAGCCTATCAGTACTTAAAGGGGGCTTCCAAAAAAGATGGCAGCAAACTTTTTAGCAGAGCCTGTTGCGACAGGACAAGGGGGAATGGCTTTAAACTAAAGGGGGGTAGATTTAGACTAGATAGAAGGAAGACATTTTTTACGCTGAGGGTGGTGAGACACTGGCACAGGTTGCCCAGAGAGGTGGTAGATGCCCCATCCCTGGAAACATTCAAGGTCAGGTTGGACGGGGCTCTGAGCAACCTGATGTAGTTGAAGATGTCCCTGCCCACGGCAGGGCGATTGGACTAGATGACCTTTAAAGATCCCTTCCAACCCAAATGATTCTGATTCTATGATTCTATGTTGGAGTCTCTGAAAGAAAAAGTATATAGAAATATTCCCAGAAGAGAAAGATTTGCAATAGCTTCTCAAATGTAACTTAAGACATTAATGCACACTAAGATGTAAACAGGCAGAAAGTAAAGCTCAGAAGGCCCCAAATGGTAACAGTAATAGTAAAACTGTATTTGCACCAGGTAAGGTATGCACTATAAAAAATTATTTGACATTTCAATTTTTTTTCTATCCTGCCAGAACAAAGATATTTTTACAATTAGCTTTTACTGTTTGTTCAATTTTTTTCCTCTTGCCCTCCACCCTGCACCACCCCATGCCCCAAAAAATCCCAGATCAAACTCAAACAGTACAAATACTTTCAGTGGTCTGTTAATGAGAAATTTTACTCACCGTTTGAGGTCATCCTTGGTTGTATCTAGATGGAAACTTAATAGATGAAATTCAGCTCCACAACACAGCAATATAAATGCATCTATAAAATAAAACTGTGCAAAGCGTACAGTCTTATGGAACTTCTCTTTGCCCTGAAATGCAAAGTAAATTATTAAGAATGGATTCTAAGATACTGAATATTTTTTGTCTGAGATTCCTGGTGTTAAGGCATAGTCTCCCTGTTATCCTGACCATATGCCAGGAGGTTAACCTACTATGTAGTTGCCCTTCCTATTTTTGACATCTATTAATCTCAAAATAAAGTTTTCGTTCTACTTAAATTAGTTTGCAGTAAAGTTAATAGTATCGTAGTCAATTGAATCTAATACAATCTAGCTTCATACTCTAAACTTCCATTTGAATTAGGGAGTAGACTATAAAGTCAAGCAGAACTGAGCCAATGAAAATAGAATATAGAGAGCAGAAAATAAGACCAAAACTTCTAGACATGCCCACTAGTTTTGTCTACCAAGATTGGTTTTCTTCTTTTCATAAATTGTCATGATAAAAGCCTAATTTGAAGTCAATGGAGACCACCCAGATCATAGTATCAGTTTGAATCACCACCACTCAGTAGCTCTGAAAATCAGGCTGTATGTTCTTTCCAGAGAGCTGTTAAAATGGAAGTAGATGAAAGTGCAAAACAGTGTCCTCTGTGAACCAAACTGACAGGAGTTTCTAATTACCAAAATTAGGGCAGGTTCGTTATTGCAGACTGACCAGACCCTTAAAGTTCTGTCTTCTGATGCAGAAACTAACCACTTCTTGTCATGACTCCAGCCAACAGAGTTAACTGCACCATCAGGACCTAATAAAAATAATAATGGAAATATCATAAAGCTCATTTCTTGCATTTATACATTTCTCCAGAGTTAATCGTATTGTTTTAATATAATTATACACAATATTAAAATACATTTTAAATACAGGCTTCAAACGGTTGGATTAAAACTGGTAACAGTAAATCAGTTATTGATTTTTTCTTCCACCAAATCCCATGGAAAAATGTCTCTCATTAATAATCAAGATTCACGAAATTAAGTAAGTTCAGAGAAATACCAAGATATTCTACCTGAAATCTCATACGCATTTGTATGACATTGTCTCCCTTGCTATAAGGGAGTTTGTATGAAAATGTTATAACAAATATAAAAGACACATTTATCTTTTATAGACATTCATATTCTAAAAGAATAAAAACTAGTATCTAAATTTTCTTTAGCTTTCTGCAATTCAGATTTGACAGCTAGAAATATAAAATAGTTCTAAACAAATATATAACAAACAAACAAACAAACTTCAAGTTAACAACAAAAACACATTCACAGATCTTTACTGTCACAGTAATATTAACAAATTCTATCTCCACACCAAACTGAATTAGAAGCACAGAAGCGGTTATAAGGTGGTTGTCATTAACAGTGAGTCTTGCTGCTAACAGTTGTGTTTCCGATCTTTTCATTAAATACTGACTGTCTCAGAGTGAAGTGCTGAATTGGATTAAAATTATTCCAAACTGTAGCAAAAAATTCCACAGAAAATAGAAGTTTGACCATCAACTCCTAATGCTTCTAATCAAGCTTCTAAGGTTTGGAAAAGCTGTCTTCTGATGCACAGAGGTCCAAACATCAGTCTGAAAAAGACTACCCAAAGAGGGAATAATTTCACCTGACTTTCATCCTTTCGTTGGTAACAGAGTGATGAAAACAACCATCACTGACAACATGGCTACCAAATATTTCAAAGTGCAACTGGGATGGTTAAGGTCCAGAGCCCTATGACTTGCTACTGTACCCAAATGGCAAAACTGTATGGTTGTCATGCAAGACCACAGAGCTCTGTGTCTGCTTGTTAGCCAGTATTTGGCTCATGGAAAGGCCCAAAACCTTTGGGCATCTAGCCCACAGTGTTGATGATCATGAGTTATTTCACTCTGACTAATAAGCTGTCCTGAGTGTTTCATCCTAGATTGCTTCGTCTCTGCCCATCCCTAATAACAGAGGGTTGGAAGTCCAGCAAAATTGAAGTTACCACACTGGAGCTTGTAAAGACCAGTTTATTTTTTGTCATGGGCCTGCATGAAATGTACTGGTGCAGAAAGGTTCAGCCCAAAGAAAAATCCTGAATCCCAGGATGGTTACTCTAGCATTGACTCTAGCATTTGACGGTTGGACTCGATGATCTTAGAGGTCTTTTCCAACCTCAATGATTCTATGATTCTATGATTCTATGAAGGCCTTCAAGATCCGAATCAGGCTTCATATGAACTGCATTTTGAATGCTTAACTTCAAGTGCTTAGAAACTGATTTTACAGAGCTGTAAAGTACCATATATTCCAGAATAAGACAGTCGATGGGATGATGCTTTAAAAGGAAGGCAAGGCTACTGAGATCCAGAAGGATTTTATCACATAAAGCAGTAAAGGAACTCACCACAGCTATGGAGCTATGGCAAATAAATACTTATTGTAGAAGTCTCAGCAACAGAACACCCGACTTTGACTGTCAAAGTTCAGTGTTTTAAAACACAAAATGTAAGCAGTTACAAAAGAATCACCAATCTGATTTACCTATAGATAATGATAATTCTGACTCTAATTTTTGAAAGTTATTGGAAGAGCGTTTTCAAGAAACATCCTTGAAATTCTATTTAACAAAAGATACAGTATTACTTGAAAAGAGAATCTGCGTATTATATTATAATGAAATTTTATATTAAACATGATCTGGAAACCACTTAAGACCTTGCAAATAGTTGCAATACTTTATTTTATTCATTAGGTTTTTATTACTGAGCTAGCTGTTTTTGTAAAAACACAATGAACATACAACTAGAACATACCACTACAACAGCTTCTGCAGGACTGTCTCATTAGATTAAAAAAATGTAACCGCCTGTTTAAAAATCATAGTTTAAAGTATTATAATATCCAGTTAATAGCAAAAAGCTTCTACAAGAAATAGACTTTGATTTTGATGTCACAGTTAAAAACAAGATTAGAAACTCACAAAGAAAGAACTTCAAAAGCCAGAAACACCATCCAGAAGATAAAATTATTAATTTGATCTAAAATTATATTGAAGCTGATCAAAAAGGTAAAAAAAGAAGAAAATATCTCAAACAAAATGAACAAACTTTGGCCCATATTATTCTAATTTTTCCAGATGAAGTCTGATGAATTTCACCTAGCCTTAAAACATTTGAAGTTCTTATGCTGCCCTCTTGTGCACATTTTCTCTTTAGTCAACTGAAGTTTTATATAAAAAAATTTGATTGCTTTAAATTACAGGAAGGCTAATCAATTTATCTCAGCAATTAAGATCTTCTATGATAACATATATCTATAAAAAGACTTATAAACAAGATAAGTTACCAAAGACCTGTAGAATTTTCACCAGAAAACTGCATAAGTACTGGTTAAGTACGTATGTAAGCACTATACTTATTTTATTCTCAACATAAAGATTTATTTTGGGGCTTGGGTTTGATAAAACCATTTGGAAGCCTTGAATTATCTGCTTTAACAAAAAAAAAACCAAAAAAAAACCCAAAAAAAACCCTTACCAGAATATACAAAACAGTTTTCCAAAGTGGTAAGGTACATAAGAAACTTTAGAACAATCTGAGGTTTGGAAAATTGGAAGACCCATGCAAAAAGCTTAAGAATCTCTGCACTCCAGGTTCCCCAATCCCAAAGCCCAGTGAAGGAGATGCCAGCTGGCTTGCAAGAGGCCAGTAAGCTTCAAAACAGGCATTACTCAGGGATCCCCAGTCCTGAAGCACATTGAGAAGGGCAGCAGCTGGTTTTGAAAAAGACTTCTTGAAAAAGGCCATGCTGGCTGTAACTCTATTAAAGCTGGCCAATATTACCTGCACTTCATTATAGGACACAGATATCTGAAGAGCCAACATTGAAGAGGAATGCAGAACTACTTAAAGCTGTAACTGAGCACTTCAGGGAACAAAACTGAATAAATTAGGCTTATAGTAAAATTGCTGTTGTTGTACCACTCCTCTCTGATGGTGCATTGTTAAAACATGATTTTCAATAATCAGCTGCATTCAGATGTTAATGCTGCCTTGAAAATTAATTTTTTCAACAGAATAGATATTATGGCCATTTCTTGAAAAAGGGAAGTTTTACATTACCATTGATTGCAGCTCTAAATAAGAGCAATGCATCATGGCTTTTAATGAAAAGAAAATACATTTATTATGACACTTCAACACCGAAGGCATCTAAAGTAGAAAATAAATATGTGATTTCATGATAATCTGAACTGTACAGAAGAACTACATGAATGAAATAAGCACGTAACTGATGGTTTGCAGCTCCTACTCCCCTACAGTGCAGTATCTGACAGTTTCACATTCATGTTGCTTTTGAAAAGAATTACATGCACAGGTTGCATTCTTATGCTACCTAAAAAGCCTGAAGTAGAATGTGGTTTACACTTCTGTTCAGACTGTGCATCATAAAAAAAGACATAGAATAAAGGAAGAAAGGTATCAACAAAACAAATTAGCTAGTAGTTCAAAACCTAGGAAAACTAGTAGAAGAAAGTCAATTGTTAAAAGAACAATTTAGTAATAAATCAATTTTTTTTAAAGCAAGACAGAGAACTAGTATTTGACACCTTAACGACTGGCACCAGAAAAAGCTTCTCTGTAGTAGCATGAAGTTTGGTGCAGGTTACTTTACTCTTCTCATCACAATAAATTAGCCTGCATTTGCAGAGTACTGCAGTATTTTAGGGAGCTCTGAATGTTGAAATATCTTATAATTGAAATATCATAAAATCATAATATTTAGTTTTACTTCATAGAAAAATAAAGCCTTTCATTAATAATGTATCAAAACCTAAGTAGTTTCCTTCATGATTTACAGAGTAACATGAACTAAGGTTTTCTTTCAAATTTAGAAGTCTAGTCTAAATTCTAACCCTTTTTTTCTGCTTTCAAATATGTCTACTTAGATTAATATTTTTTCTTATTAAAGTCTATGTTTTCTGTTATTGCCAGTATCAAGCCATTCCTTAGATATTATTACGTAGCAAGTATATGGAGGTATAGATGCAACAAAGTCAATTAAATTAGTATCTTCCCCTGAGATGAAACAAAGATAAAACCCCTAAATTCTAACACTTTTTTTCTGCTTTCAAATATGTCTACTTAGATTAATATTTTTTCTTATTAAAGTCTATGTTTTCTGTTATTGCCAGTATCAAGCCATTCCTTAGATATTATTACGTAGCAAGTATATGGAGGTATAGATGCAACAAAGTCAATTAAATTAGTATCTTCCCCTGAGATGAAACAAAGATAAAACCCACCTATTACCAGTCCAAAATCAATGAAGCCTACATAAAAACAAACTCCAGTGAAAAAAACATCCAAAGAAGAGTATTTCACAGAATTGAAACGTCACTTTCTGCAGCACATAATCTCTATATACATTCAAGTAAAACCTGCCTGTCTAACTTCTTGATAGTGGCTCACACAAAAAGAAGCTGGATCTGCGATGCAAAAGACAAACTGCAAAGAACAGCTACAGAACACATACTGTACAATGAGAATTTCTAGCCTCATGGAATAATTTTGCAACATTTATGTTCTACTTCATGTTCAGAGTAGCCCTGCTACCAAAAAAAAAAAGACTTTAAAGTTCTTGAAAATCATTTACATCTTAGCTGCTTCAGATTACTGAAGAAAGATGTGTTAATAATCTGAAGAAACACTGAATTCTCTGAGCACAACTTTTTTAAGCTGCTATGTACCAAATACTGTAGCAGTACTGTATCATTATTTTTATAGATGCCTGTAACAAGTAAGGGAAGGAAATACAGAATTTTGATGTCTTTTGGTTAATTGCATTTTTTAGAAATTCTGATTTTCTAAAACAATGTTATATATATTTCAGATATATGGGGTCCCTTTGGACTAAATTACTGCTTTTATTCTATTACTACCTAAATAACAAAATTATGTCAATAAAACCTCAAAACGCTATTCCTGCCTGCAGTTTATATGACTTGCACTATGAATTTGCTCAAATTAGTAGGTGATACATGAAGAAAAACATTTTTTAAAGTTTATGAACTTTCTATTGTGGAAAAGAAAGACCTAACTACCCTGCCCATAAGGCATATTTTCATCAATTTCATCACACAGAGAGGAAAATATCAGTAATGTTACCTCCATTAGTGGCCACAATGCCACAGCTTCTTCCACAAAATACAATGAAAATTACTCAAAAGAACCCCAGTTTTCAGAAATCAGTTATCAGAGTTTTTACTTAGAAATAATTTTCTAAAATAACTTAAAACAGCCTACTTTGATACCGGTTAAGGCCTGCTAGTAAATGACAGTCATCTTCCATTATGAACTTCCACAGTAAATCAGTCCTGCTATATGAATTTTAAGTCATAACATTTACTGTTAATTAAAACTTTAACAGATAGTTCTTGTAGAAATTTAGAATTCTTTTTTTTTCAGGTTCATTTACAATGTTAAGTAATGCACATGTGTTTGCACATGCATACACTTTTGCAGATATGGATTTCCCCATAGGAATAGTCCCTTTCTTTTTCAAAGAGTTGTTCTTTAGAAGTCTGGAGCTGCAAACCAAACACATTTTTTGCCAAGTCATCGCGGTCAATTTTTTAGTTAATAATCTATTACAATACATTACTGCAATATACACATGCATTATCATTACAATATATTGGCTTTATTATTTCTATTTAATTATTGTAATAAACATACACAATGCAGACTATAATATATATCGTGATACATTACTATTTACCTCCCAGAAAATTGAGAAATGGGAAAACTGGTAGGCAGTTTAATTCTAGAACAAAATGAACCAATCAGAGAAGTAACTTCTACATCTTGAATCAGCAGTATCCCCTCTCCCCCATTCTTCTCAAAGTGATGAAAGTGGAATCTTTTACTTACTCTGCCATTTTAGGTTAAGCTCAATTATATACTATTTCTTTAATAATGTAATTCATAATTTACCTGAAAAAACTTTGTATGTATCAGTGAGATTGGAATTGAATATCAGTACAGTCTTGTCAGCCAGACCGCAAGCCAGCATCTCTCCATCTCCTATAAAGAAGAGTGTCTAATGATTTGTATTTGAAAGCAACAAGGACCTAATATGCTGTTTCCTTTAATCATAAAAATCATATATGTCACTACAATAAAACGCACACCAGACATTAATTTCATATGTTTAACACATATTTTGTATGAACTCACAAACTCATATTGCAGAATTTGGTAGGAATTTGTGCGCAATTCATTTCTTGTCCTGATATATTCTCAAAACAGTTATTCATCACAAGGCAGAAATTCACATTTCACCAAAAAAAGTGCTACAAAATTTAAGAGCAGAAATGTTTAGAAATCATTCAAATCTACCTCCTTACACTGATTTTTTTGTATCCTCTTATTATATATTTTCTTATATATTAGAATAAAAAGCACATATTAGTCATTCTGGATCACTTCTTAAAGATGAAAAATTTCCTTCATAAAGTAATCCTAAAAACTATCCAAGTGCAGTCAGATTGTTCATTTATATTGGTAATCAGCGGGGGCGCACAATGGCAGGATAGACTCCCTTAATGTCTATGTAATGGTAGTGATTTGTGAAATTTAACTGTTCACTCAAAAACTTTTCCTGAAAAAACTAAAACAATAAAGAGCAGATAAATGAACCAATGGGAAAAAAAAAGGGAGGGTAGAGCAAGAGAAGACAGCAGTGAGAGAAAGTAAGGAAGTGAAGTGCAGAATTCAAATCAATGTTACTAGGTTCACTGTGAAAAGTATTTTTAAAAGAATTACCACCTGAACACACCCTTCATAAATCTCCTGAGCACCTTTACAAAGGGAGAGGGAATATAAGTCATGCTTGACTTCACCAACATTACCCACTGCTATCCACTGTCCAAGTACCACCCACATTGCACGTTCAGAATACTGTATTCCACAACACATTTTTTTCCCAAATTAATCATGGCAATATAAACAGATAAGAGATCCATATTGCTGATCTCTGAGAGTCATCTACTAAAAGTTAATTTTAAATGGGACACACAATGGGGTAGACGTATATGTTAAGAAGAGGCATTCCAGAATCTTTTTTTCTGTTATCAGTTATTAAACGCACAACTATACTAAACTGGCAAAGAACTACTTTATAAAAACATTTTTAATTTTATCTGACAAGCAATATTTCAGCTGACTTTTTCCTCCAAATACTAGTAATTGCACATACTAAATAATGCTGTTAAATATTTTCATCACAAAAATAAGATAAGTAGTCCTGGACAAAATATTCCAAAAAACGCATGCCCCACAAACTCAAAGGTATTGAAGTCTTTGAGCTAAAGGGTAGTTCTCTTTTGCAGGTTTCCCCCCTTTTTCCTAAAGTTTTGACAGTATGTATTTTCAGCAGGAGAGATGATTGGTAAGTATATCAGGTGAGTGATGTAGTGATGTAAGTCACACACACATAATTAACAATATATAAACCTTCTTGTGCACATAGAATGAGAAAAAATAATTTTGCATAGAATTTTGGAGGCTTGTTTAATGGAACGTCATCTCAAATCCTGAAGAAAACTGTTTTCTAACAGAGCAAGAAGTCATGACTTGTAACACCTCCAATACTACAAAAGGATGTTTAATACATCTAAGAAGGTTTGCATTAATGCAACTGTACAACCTCTTAAGTTTTACTTTTCTATTTAATTTCCTTTCTACTATGTTAAAAGATGCACATAACTATTAATTATTGTGATTCATACTTTACAGAGACCACTTGGTTGTTCCAAGCTGCAATTCCAAGTTGCAAAATTGCAACAGAAAATATTTTGGAAAGCTAGGAACCATCTGGTCAACACAGACTACAACAATAACAGAACACCTCTTTACAAGCTTACAATAATATGATTTTTTCACTCCAAGAAAAAAAATCTCTGCAATTTTCGCTAAACCTTGTTTTGCTAAACTGTTTTTGTTTAAGCCTGTGTGTGCATGTGTGTGTGTGCGAGAGACAGAGACAAAGACAGAAACAGAGAAAGATGTTCCTTCCTCAGAGTAAGTAAAAGAGGATTTATATTTAAAATGTATTATTGAAACTGTAGCAATGCTTATCTTTGCTAAAAAAGAACCTTTACTTTTAAGCTCACATAACATTCCCAGAAATAAGCTCTCTGCAACCGATTTCTTTCGGGAGCCATAAAAATAATTTTTTCCCATTCTCTAGGGAACACTTATGGCTGGAATATGTTTTAGAAAAGTTACTGATTGCATCTAATTGTTTTTATTTATTGAAGATGAAAGTTGCTCTTGTCCCCAAAATATTTATAAAGATAAACATTTTTAAATACTTTGAAAATATTGTGGTTTGCAGAGTGTACATTGAAATAATTATATACTTGGTAATACACTTGATTGCTAATCTAAGAAGTGGTTTCTGTATAATAATATTTATATGGATTGGAAATGACTAAACCTATTACAAGACTCATTTCTCCAAAGCAGTTAAGAAAAATACCCTTCTCTGGATTATATGCAAGAATGCTTTTTTTATATTTTAATATATAAAAACTGAATAATCTTACATAATAGGAGTATTCTGATTCTTTTGAAACAGAACTTCAGCTTTTAATACACCCTAATGACACTAAGTAAATGTCTCAAAAAATAAATTCCTTAGTGAAAGAACTTGTTAGACTACTGATTTTCAAGTTGTAGTGGGAAAGTCATAGAATAAGTACAAAAGGAAACGACGTAAAATCAGAGAAAAATTAGAATCCTTTTGCATACACGTTAGCAGCATGGTTTTGCAAGTTAAAAAATTATGATTTAACAGTATATGGTATTGCCAGAAAGTTTTCTGGGAATTTACCTAGTAAATCCATGGCCTTAATACACCATGTCACACAAATTTTGTTTTTATTTCTGCACACTGCCACAATTGTACATTTTATAAAACCTGTACATACCGGAATACTGAATGCAACATATTGGGGTTGGTTTACAAGTAACAGATATTTCTTTCTCATGTTTGATTGGAGGAGAACTTTCCAAAGGATATTCTTTACTTTTACTTCAAAGAAGGAAAAAAGAGAAAGAGGAAAAATATTAAGATATCTAAACCCACTACATTTTGATGTAAGTTATGAAATAAATGTACTTTGGGAGCTATTCTAAATGTCATTATATAAATATATCCTGGAAAACTTATGTTAAATCCAAGATAAGAGGCAGAATGAATTTTAAATTGTCATACTTAAATTACTCCTATCACCAACTGTTATGAATTCATGAGATCAAGAATTAACATGGACTTGTGCATAAAATCAAACTTCTTAAGTTGCATACCTATCTAATAAAACCATCTAAAGAATGCAAACTCTACCTTGTTGTGACAATAAAAAATATGAAAAATATCTCCATATGTAAAAATAAGAATTACATTGATCATCTATTTAACAAGATACTAAAAAAATCCCACACAAAACCTGAAGTGCTAAGCAGCTTAACCTATCATAAAACAGCGCAAACCAGTTTTGAAATTATCTGAAGTGCTCATCTAAAGGCTCGCCTATGTGTGCAAGGATTACAAAAACTTAGTCTTGATCTATTAAGTGTTTAAGAAACAGTTTTTTAAAAAGAGAAAAATGATGGCATTAATCATTCTTTACTTTTATGTTTGTACTACATAAAACAAAAACTCTACATAATACTAAAGAGAAAAAATGTGTGCAATATCCCCATTTAACATACCACACCAATTAACATGAAAGTGCCAGCTCTAAAAAAAAATTCATTCTTTGTGTCCACAGTGATGATGAATCCACTGGTCAAATTGTACAATTATGTATACTCTGTTTAAATCCATTAGAGTAAGCTTGCATTAGCTTAAGATAACATGATTTTAGGGGTGAATGAGGCACATGATCTGAAATCACTAAGTCTCACTGTGCCACATTCAGTTATTTTTCTGACTAGAATTGCAGTTTAAGCACATGTTGCGACTATGCCTCCAACTATATTTAGCACCTGTTCTGCTTTCTAGCAACAAAAATCTAAGAAAACAGATGTGTATATTTTCTTTTGTATGTAAGACTCAAATTTAATTGATAGTCTGGTAATCTGAATCACTTGCTGCAGTCATTTTATAGCAAATTTACAAAGCCTTTTAGTTCCAGTGATACTCCTAACTAAAAAGTTCCAATGAGAGAAGCGGCTACAAACCATATTTCCAACAGAACTGTATTTATCCTCATTTTAATTTGTTCCTCCTCTAATGGAGTTTCTAGATTACCTACCGTTTACAACTGGTCTTCCACTTTGATACCTCATTTTTCTTCAGGTTATTATTTGGAGAAAACATGGTCATTCTACAAAAAAGAACACAGACTCTCCTATATGAAACATTAAATGTTGCATGAGATAAATCATTTATGTCAAACGAAAAACAATCCTACTTCCTTCTTATTACTCATATCTACTAGTAATGTCAGTAGGTAAGATAATGTACACATTGATGACAAGATAACATTCTAATGATCTAACGCTTGAGTTTGCAACTAAGTTTTGTGTTCTGTGAGTTATTTGTTGGATAATGCATTCTGAAGGTCAAAATTCATTCATATAAAGTTCTCAGACATTTTTTTCTGCAAGCTGAAGAAACAAGAAGAGTTTAATCATATGAAAGAGACAGGATGCCTAATACAGATTTTGAAAGGAAGTTGAACACTGACCAGAAGCTGTGAAAATTTAGTTTTACAACATATTTTTAATTTTTTTTTATAACATCATGTCTGTTTTTCACAGGTGATTAGTTTCACAGTCATGAGACTACATGGCTCTATTATGTGACAAAATAACACACACCAATAAAACAGACAAAATAGTAATGTACTCACTGTGGTGCTGCTGTATAACCTGATGACTTAATTTTATTATGGAAAACCAATGGCTGATCTTTCACTGTGCTTTTCACTCCTATAGCAAAATAATTTAATTCTCATTAAAATGTTTTTTTGATATATTTTTACAGTTAAGGGAGATAGTTAAGTTAGCACAGTAGAATATTTGTTGCCTTATTTGATTTGATATTTGATGTTGCCTTATGTTACAAGACACATTTATGACCAACCACTCTAAAATAATGATTATTGAGAAAAGGAAAGAAATCTGAACCGTTACGCTGCATAACAACCCTCTTCCAATAATATCAATTAGTAGAAACTTCTTTAAACTTTGAATTAACAAGAATATTGTTCTGAGGAACTTTTTTCATTATTCATTCACAAATGTGTTTTGTAGTTGCCTATTTTATGCTTAGACTTCATATCTATTAGCTATAATAGATTGACACCTTATATTCGGAGTGTGGAATGTATCTAAAGATCATTAATAAACTGGCTGGTGGCTACACATAAATGTTTGGGGTTTACGTGGCTTAAGTCGTTAATAATGTCTGCATTCACACTACTGTACTAAGAAGCCTGAAGGGCAGCCTCCAGCCCAAAACTAAATATGAGCATTTCATGTCAGCAGAAACAACCTATTTAAATAAATGGTGTAAAGGAGGAAATCTTGTTGATATTCCCAGGAAAAAACTTCACGTGCACTGGGAGTGATCTCGTGGGCACATTTACCTACGCTGAGGATAGAAGCTCCTTCTACTCCCACCAGCTATCCTTTCTCTTTATGTAGCGATGAGGCAGAAACAGGTCCTTCCTGGGAAGCTCCCAGTACCACTTGCCATAAGACACTATAGGATTTCCTTACAGCACCTAATCTAGCTGAGTGTGAGGTGTCAACAAGGGTAGTACAGGCATCAGTGCTGGGTTTCCGAAGCACCCTGGAATTCTAGCTAAAACACTGTAGATGCATTCTTGGAATATCATACAACACTAAAGATATAAAGAGATATATATATTTGATGTTCTAACAGGTCCAACAAGGACAATCAATACAGTAAAAATAGATTATTTCTACATGTCTACAGCTACCAGTATTTTTATATCTTTCCTAAAGAAAAAGTGATGATGAAAAAATTATTTTGTAGGCATTTTTTGGACTTTGCTTTACTGTTGCTAAACAAAGAAGCTACAAGTGCTTCAACAGCAACTGGAAGTCAGACCTTTTTTTTTTTAAACAGTAGGGCATTGAGGCAAAAATTAACTTCCTAAATTTGCAGCTATTGACAAAACGCTATTCAGGACAATAAAATTAACGAAACAGGTAACCAAAGTTGAGAAAGAAATGACAAATTATACAGAAAAAATATATTGCATGCTATGGAAAAAGAAAGACCTATGAAAAAAGTAAACATTCTACACTCTTTAATTCTTTTAAAATCCACAAAAAGTTCTCAGAGGATTGTTTTTAAAAGAAGAAAAATTCCATATTACCATCATTTTCACTACAAATACATACGTAGGATATGAAATACTACTAAAAGTATAAAATTCTTCCTACTAAAATAAAAATATCATGCAATATATACTTAAAACAGAAATCAATATATTGATTGTATTAGGTACCAGCCAGTTGTGAGTCAGTTACTGTTATTAAAAATATAACTTTATTAATTCATTTCAAGGTTGGTTTATACTCACCAAGTGTTCTACTAAAAGGTTCTTTCATGTTTTTCTTTAAACCTTTACACAATGGAGAATTTGTCAATAAAGAACACCTAAGTTATAAAACCAAGCACAAAAATCAATCAATGCAATGGAAAAAAGCATCAGATTAGGAAAAGGTGTCAAAACTTCTTTTTAGCTATTTGTCTGCATGGCTGTATGTATACGTGTGACACCAGTGAGATTTTCATAAATACAAATCAGGCATAGTGGATTAGTTATCAGCTCAGATACCTAGCAGCACAGACAAGCCTTGGCCCTGATTAGATTCACAGATCATTGCATTTACATGATAAATCCCATTTCTGTGAATATTAACTGATGATTTTATTATAAGCATTGAAATCTTCACTTCACTTCAGTGTATATTGTAGGGGTTTTTTATTGTCTTCAAGATGTCAGTGTTTTCCTGGAAATCTTTTACAGGCACATGAAGGACAAGAAAATAGTAGTCAGCACGGATTCACCAAGGGGAAGTCATGCTTGATCCACTTGATAAACTTCTATGATAAAATGACTGGCTTGGTAGATGAGGGGAGAGCAGTGGATATTGTCTACTTTGAATTCAGTAAGGCTTTCCACTCTGTCTCCCGTAAGATCCTCACAGAGAAGCTGATGAAGTATGGGCTGGATGAGCACACAGTGAGGTGCACTGAAAACCAGCTGAACAGCTAGGCCCAGACAATGATGATCAGTGGCACAAAGACTAGTTGGAGGCCAGTAACTAGTGGAGTACCCCAGGCATCAATACTGGGTCAAATTCCATTCAACATCTGCATTAATAACCTGGATGAAGGAGCAGAGCATACCCTCACCATGTTTGGTGATGACACAAAACTGAGAGGAGTGTCTGACATACCAGAAGGTTGTGCTGCCATCCAGACATCCACAGGCTGGAGAAATGGGCTGACAGCAACCTCATGAAGTTCAACAAAGGGAAGTGCAAAGTCCTGCACCTGGGGAGGAACAACCCTATGCACCAGTATATGGCTGTAAAGAAGACAGAGCCAGGCTCTGTGCCTGGTTCCCAGTGAAAGTTTTTTTTCAGGCAAAAACTGAAATACGGGACGCTCCGTCTGAACACCAGAAAACACTTTTTTACTGTGAGGGTGACTGAGCACTGGCACATGTTGCCCAGAGAGGTTGTGGTGTCTCCCTCTTTGGAGATATTCAAAAGCCATTTGGACATGGTGCTGGGCAACTGGGTCTAGGTGCCCCTGCTTGAGCAGGGGAGTTGGACAAAGTGAGTTCCAAAGGTGCCTTACAACCTCAACCATTCTGTGATTCTGTGATTTCTCCCACTCAGTACAACTAAAGCATGACAGGAAAACAAGAAAAATAAAACCACGTCAACAAATAGCACTGTACAAAACCATCTGATGCACTTCAGTGTCAGGAAAACAAATGTATAATCCAACTCAGGGGAAAAAAACATTTAAAGTTACTCTGTACCTGGCAATAACTGATAGACTGTTCTCATTTCCACAGAGGAGAAAATAACTCTGCTGAGTTCTCACCAATGCAGCAAGGTTAACTTCCAATACAGCAGTCATATCTTCAAACATTGAGGTGATCAAGCATAAAACCTGCAGCAATTATACCATAAAATAACACTCCATTTACTTCATAATTTAAGCTCCAACACTGAAGCATGTATAATGGAAAATGAAATCACTTTGTGTCGTTTATGAAAATTAGTCAAAAATATCTATGGGTTTAGTCTTGCAGAGCATTAAACAGTAAAAAGTAGCTAATGCTGTCCTTCAGAAATATGCTTATGTTGCTTAAATATGTGTCTTAACAGACTTGCATACCTAACAGTCACAGAAATTCCAATACCTTCTACAATAGAGATATTTCTGCAGTAAGAGTTGTGAGAAAAGAAGCACACATGGAAGAAAGATTGGTTTCAGAGACATGCTGAGAACACGCTAAGAACTGAATTTAAAACAAAATCCTTCTTTAAAACAAAACACTGCTATATTAAGTATGTAGAAAGGCCTAGATTCGGCTCAGTTCTGTAGGAAAACTGTAACATCAAAAATGGAGTATGCAAACAAGAATGCCTTTCATTTCCTTAAAAGCACTTTTAGTGACTTTCCACAGAAATTTTCTCACAACTCAAATAGTTTTCACAGATTTCTTGGAAGGATTTAGAAGCAGTTCATCCTAACATTTGTTTGAGAAACAAGGTGTAACAATGCTTATATCCTTTTTCCCCCAAAAAGATTGCCTCTGCTCCCCTAATGGTTGTTCTTGACATTCAAGGTACGCACCGAACATTACAAAAAACAATTCACCTCTTTGCTTATTAATCACTTTGGACAGCATACAAACTGTGAGAGCTTTAAAACTACCCAGCTATTTAAACTAGTAGATTCCATAAAGAAGAATCAACCCTCTCCAGAGAAACTACTGTGTAATTCATATCAAGCAAAACAAATGTGTACCTTAATCTGCAAATAAAATTAATATTTCTTGAAAATAACTGGAAATGTAAACATTTGTTAAATCAGTGCTTACTGTATACCCACCTTTCCATTAACTGCCTTCCTGGTTAATGCACACGATCCGGCAAACCGAATGCTGAGGTCACTATAATCTTTACCAAAAAGAACATAATGCTATAAAATTGTACTTGCATTTCAAAAGAAAAAACTATCAACAAGAAAGGAGAAAAACAATTACTCATACTAATTTGACACCACCATAATCCACTGTCTTCAGTGTATATCCTTCTAGCTTACCCCCACATTGTAAAGTAGGAGTAGAATAACATTCCTTGTATTTGACACTCATAAACTGCAAAATAGGATAAAAATTCATTGCTAGCCACTAGAGAAATCTAGTGCTGACACATTTTCTGAAACAAGGCAGCAATGCCAGAAAAACATACAAAAATTAATTAGAAAAAACGTTTTTTAAAAAAACACTTTCTACTGTAGTCTGCTATTTCACAAACTAATTCTTATACTATTTATATCAGATAACAAAAGAAAGCAATCACATTATGATGTAGTCAGATATTTTATAACTATACCTTTGTAAGCTAAAGAAGCTTCTAATTCAAAGTTTGCCAGATTAATTATTAACAATCCAGTAGAGCTTCCTATCCAAAAATAGCTAGTATTCAGGGCAGAAGATCTATTAAAAAAAGGAGAAAAAATTGTCTGAGTATGATAAAGAAGCTATTCTTGCTACTATACAAGACAGTGCAATTGGGGTTTTTAATACTTGTTACGGAATTCCAGTACAACAACATAATAAACCACACCAAAAAAAAAATTTAAATTTACAGGCATTTTTTAAATCTGTAGCTCAAAGTAAAAAGTTTCAATCAAAATTGGTGAAGTTTTGAAAACTAGGAACAGAACACAATCCTTGATTTTATGTAAGTGCTCATGGCAAGTCTAAAACAGCATAGGAAGTACTTTTCTTCAAAAATTACTGTGGTTTGTAATAGTTGGGAGACGCTGTAAAAGCACTGTATCCACAAAGAGTAAATTCAAAGAAAGAGGCAAATCCACATATGTTCTTACTTTTACCACCTGTAATATGAACACACAAAAAGCAGTGAAATTCTAAGGTGTGTTTGTACATAGTTAAAGTACAAGAGAAAAACCAGCACAAACTAAGGGGGAAAAAAAAACAGGCAGGCCTGGAATATCTGTCTCAGTCTGTTCTTAGTGGCAGTAGTATTGCAGTTGGGTAATGAAATCCAGCCTTCGTGAACACCACAGAGCAGACCAACTGGTTACAATTTCAGTCAACACTCTCACAGAAGAAAAATGTTATCAAGCATAAGATGATTATAACAAAATAACAGTTGTCATTCTCAAAAACTAAAAATGTTTTGATGCCACAGTAAATAAAAATTGACATCAACATTTTAATAAATTTTCCAAATAAGAGTGAGTAGACTTACCGGTTTGATTTGTAAAGTCAGACCACAAGTGTTGAAGTAAGGGTATGGAAAAATATAAAGCTGAAACTTGGCATGAAAAGAGTCACCACAGTGGTTTAATACTTTTTTAATAAAAAAACCCAAACAAACCAGAAACAGTCAAATACTTTAAAAAGCAGACTGGGAAAGACAGTTTCAATTCTGGTTTGTGATACTTTTATGAGCTCTGTATAGTTTTATTTGTGGTTTGCACTACTTTCATGTACAGCAGTAACAGACTGATTTAATTTGTGAATTCTTTGAATTATTTATAAAGAAGTGGCACTATCAAGTTATTATAAACAATGATATCAAGTGATATATACAGGAAGTTGATCTCATGCCCACTTTACAATAATAAAATGCCATCCACTGTGATGAAATTACTCAACTTCAAAAAGCTTAGGGCAGGATGAGACCCATCATTTTTTGCACATCAGTGTTGCAAAAAAGTTTCATTTTTGCATTTCATTGCAGGCAGGAAAAGTGGTAAATCAGGGACGGGTCAGTTGTTCAGACAAATCTGAATGACCTGCTAAAGCCAACACAGTAATTTAAAAATAAACAGAAAAATATTTATAAATACAAAACTCTAAAACCAAAAGATAATGGAACTGGATTAATAGCAAGAATTTAATGGTCATGGTTGTTTATAAGCAGAACAAAACCTCCAACTGTGATGCAATAGCTGAAAGGGTAAATAGTCCTTATATGTACAATGCCAGGCAGTATCAGGTGGGTATTGGAAAGTGATGTTATCTCAATTCAGAAAATAATTTCAATTAACCTATTACTGTGGATCCATTGCAGGCAGCCATGTGCAAAAAGGGCATTGAAAAAGAAATGAGATTGAATTTCAGAAAAAGCTCAAAAGCAAATGTTAAAAATGTTACAGAATACATGCCTTATACAAGGTGCAAACTATTTTATCCAGAAGTGTAGCGGGAACTTGATAGTAGCTGGCTCTAGACTATCAGAATAAAAAACATATTAAGAGCCAATAACTACGTGAAAAGAGGGTAATTCAGATTAGAAGTAAAATGGAATGAGTCAGTTGCTGGAACAACTTAACTAGGGACATCGTGAATTCTTCATCACTGGAAAACTAGGCATCTTTAAAGATGTGCTGTAGTTCAAATCAAACCTATAGTTTTGATGAAGACAAAGTTTTGATGATTTGAAAGTGGCATTATACAAGCAATAAGACTAACTGACTGTAATAATTCATCTTCTGGCCTTAGAGTTCTAACATTCCATTAAAGTATGTCTGAGATGTACATCTCAAAAATCACCACTTCCTTCCTCTCAGTGCTAGTCCTTCTTAAAATGTAGGCATCATGAAAATAACTGTTTGTTAATAATTACTTCAATTTGACACAAAGACAAACAAGATGATCCAGGACTGCTCAGTATTTTTCTTCTCTGTTTATAAAAAATTGTTTATATATCTAACCAGAGGATTAATCAGTTTTACCTGTACAACCCACCACAGGGCAAAGGGTGGAACAAGTGTTTCCTAAAACATGATGTGGCTGAGAAATTTATCCAAATGACAATTATAAATAACAACAAAAACAAGTTGTTCTGTAAGACAGTTCTTGTGGCAGTATCCTGAACAGATCCCCAGGTGCCTGATAATATGGTTAAACTTCTTTTCAGGAAAGAAATGCAATATAAGGATTATTTTAGGTCTCTCTCCTCTACCTGGCCAACCAATTCCATGGGAAGGATAAAAACATCATGCTTTGAAATGTCTGTCTCTCTGAGAGAAGTTGGGCTAGAACAGGTTATGTAGTTCAAAAGTTATTTAAATTTGGAAGGTAAACTGACACAGGCACACAGTGACTGCATCAGACTTATTTCCTTAGGAAAGCAAACTAAAAATAAATTCCTCTTTTTAATTGTAATTGGCTTCTGAATTATTTTTTTAACTGATCTTCCCTGATCAACTGGTATCAATAGGCACTCAAATGGATATTCCCAATGCCATTTTTACAAAATTATTTTTCAGACTAGAAATCAGTTTTAACTTTGTATCACTTTGTGTATATTATCTGCCTAAGAGTAAGCCACCAAAACTTGCAGATCGCTAAATATGTTCTCTGATTTTCCTATTGCATTTTTAAGAAAATAGTAAGCTGCAGTGAAAATAATCCAAGCACCAATAGGAACTCCTAGTAATAGATTCCCAGCCAAACCCTTGGTGGTATTTTAAAGGACTTACATGTTTTCTTCATTATGGAAACATACTAAAAAGTCACAGTGTTCAATTAAGAGGATAGGCAATGATGTTTCCACTGATCCTTCTGGTCTTATGTTGTTTGTTTTGCAAAGTTTGGAAGTATTTTGCCCTTTACCTAAGAAAGACAATCAACAATACTAGCTATCAAAAAACAATGAAATAAGGGAAACAGACAGGATTTAAGAGGGATTTAGAAGTAGTAAAGTAACATGAACTAAGACAACACTCAAGAAGTTTCTATTTTAAAAGATTAATATATCCTAAGATCCAGCCCTCTTGAAATATCTTTCCTCATTATTATGTTATTTTTAGTACCGTCTTATTTCAAATACCTAGAGATAAAATCCAAAGAGCCTACTTAAGGACTGAAAAGGATTTGGCACAATTTAGGTGTGTTCATCTCAAAAAGTGACACTGAAAGCCATATTCCAACAACCCTTAAATATGCTGGGTACCTTTCCACTTAGCCTGAAAATTCCCTTGACACTAAAGTTACAACATAATCCGAAAACAAGATGGAAAGCCACCTCAGTTTCATCTTCCCAAGGAGTCTCCAATCCGTTATGAATGTGCAGTTCACACCTAGGAGCTACTAGCACCGAATTCAGCATTAGGCACAGACACTACATCACTCTTTTTCAAACATCCAAAGATGAAAGTGACATCCATATATTTTAAATAATAACAAGAAATGTAGCAGTCTTTCTCATTAGGTTAGGACCTTAGGATTATTGAAGCTGGACCACTAGGCAGTTAAGAATACAACAGTCATTAAAGCCAGAAAAAGAGCAAGCAAGGGAAACCAGATCTCCCTTTCCCTAAAGAAAGCTCCCTCTTGCTTGCCTTTAGGAGGACCTCAACTCATTTCAGCTAGTGTGCAGGTAGTCTGAATGCCTCATTTGGGAACATGGAATCACCTTGCTGAGGTTACCAGTGCAGTCTTTAAAGACTTATAAGTAGTCTGTGTTATACCACTAGAAATAATACAGCCAGAGAAATATCATATCATGGAGGCACTGGTATGGATTAAAATTAAAAAAAAAAAAAAAAAAAAGATTCCTAGAATCTTCAAAGGAAACTGAGAAATGGTATTCCACTTAGACAATGGATGAATTTTTAGGCACTGATTCTGTTCTCACTGAAGCCTTGGGCAATGAATTCAATAAAAAACAAATACTTAATAGTTCACATCATGCAATGTTTTATAAGCAGATACATTGGCCAAGAGTTTATTACAGACATACATGCATAATTCTTTCCAGATATGTCAAATAATTCTTTCCAGATATGCAAATACCCAACTTCATATCAGCTTCAGTAAGAAAAAGATTCCTAGAAGCTTCAAAGGTAACTGAGAAATGGTATTCCACTTAGACAATGGATGAATTTTTAGGCACTGATTCTGTTCTCACTGAAGCCTTGGGCAATGAATTCAATAAAAAACAAATACTTAATAGTTCACATCATGCAATGTTTTATAAGCAGATACATTGGCCAAGAGTTTATTACAGACATACATGCATAATTCTTTCCAGATATGTCAAATAATTCTTTCCAGATATGCAAATACCCAACTTCATATCAGCTTCAGTAAGAATTCCATGCCACAGTCTGAGACTCATAACTGTATCACTTATAATAAATTATCATGGTATAAAAAGCACACACTCAGTAGCCAATAACAACTAGAATATACCATAAACAGCATTCTAGAAGCACTGTGATACCTATTTCTTTTCCAGATTTCCACACTTTATTACAGAATTTCTCTTGCTCTTTCTTTAAGTTGATATGTGCCACGCAACGGTAATTATGATCACTGATTAAACTGAAGATCCAAAGCTGCAAGAAAAAGAAAAGGCAATTGCAATAACCTTTTGACACTAAACATAAAGCTTACATGAATACAAACTAAAGGTCCAATATTTAAAACTGTTGATGTAACTAATGAATTTTTGTATCTGGAATCTCACCTTGGACCAGAAATTCAATTATATGCATTTCTAAGATTATCAAAGGATATATTCAATATTAGCAAAAGCAGACATTATCAATTTGAACTGCAAATCTAACTCCCACATGTTTATGTCTTTGAAAAAACCTCCTCATAGACTATTTCCCACATCTAAAAATCACAGGTAACCTGCATGTAATTGCTCACTGTGTCACATACATGAATTTCATTTATACCTTTCTCTTTTTAGGCACCACTATAGTTAAATTTTTAATTTTCTTCACAATTCACTGAACCCTAACATTGAAGGAAAACAGCTGGAAAATCTCATGTAAATATATTCTTAACATTAAATTAAAGAGGAGGTGAAATGCATATTCACATTTATCACATTTTGATTAGAATTCCAACATGCTGAAATCATAGTCTCTGCCATTTATTGTCATGTGTTTCATTCCTTGGCCAAAATAGGAGAAACCTATTTTTCACCTTTTTTCTTTTAAAACAGATATATTTATAGCATCTCAGTGTATTCCTCTTATATAATCACTGATTGTGCACTTAAAAACTTCCCTGGTTTTCAGGAAAAAGTTTCCATTTTGGAATAGAGGTCTTATATACCATATATGGTTTACGCTCAAAGCATTGAATTATGCTTACTAAAACAACTGTTGTAACAGTTCAAAACATGTATGCAGATTATGAAACTTTTTTATAGATGGATACATTAATAATAGTTGACTGTTTTGACACAGAGACTAAGTTTAATGGGTAATTCTTACCTGTCCCTCAGCACATCCAGTGATAATCTGTTTATTTTCTTCATCAATTAGCAGACTTAGCAAAGGAAATGCTGCTTCAAAAAAGATAAAATTATTTCTAGAGTAGACACAAATCAGATATTTAATTAAAATACATGATTCAAAATTGAATCCTCCTATTCATAAAGACGAGTGAAAAAAACCCTTATTGCAATTCTCACAGTTGCACAATGCTTTGTGTGCCTTAGCCTTTGTGTTGCTAAGGGCTTTCCATTTGCAGGTCCGCGGCCTGCCTTTCACCCACACTGCCGTGGCAGTGGTTTTCTGCAGCCTTTCACCCAACCTGCTGTGGCATGGTTTTCAGAGCCCCTGTGGCAGTAGTTTTCCCTTGTTGTTCCCATGCTGTTATTCTCATGGCCTTGCAAACCCTGATATTGCTCTTAAGGCAGGTTTTCAAGGGAAGCAATTGCCACAGGCAGCCAGGGAGGAATCACCCCTTCTTCCTCTCCTTTCCTACCATGTGGTCTTAGCTTCTAGTTCACATGAAGTCATTCAATAATATGTATACATGAAACTTAACAACCAATCTCCGTGCAGCTCGTGCCCCCAAAGCATGCTCCAATCACCACTAACAGCGCCACAAGCAGGAGCAACCAACAGGGAGTTTGAGCAGGTCCTGTTGAAAATTATATGGTTACTGTAGGAAAACTGCTATTGGAGAAGGGGTCCCTGCTGCATTGGAGACAACACTGGCCCTCTTCCTCTTCTCTCCTTTTGCTCTCGTCTTTCCACAAAAGTAGCTTTCACCCTTAAAGTCAATATATGTCATCAGCTACAGACACTGCTAATAAATCTACATACGGTATACTTAAAGTATTTCCTTCCATGTCATATACAAAACTTGAAAGAAAACAAGCACATAGTACTCAGACAGTGGAACTGTATCTACAAAACGAGAGCTTCATCTGCATATCTCAGTAAATGGCAAGTTACATGCACATCCTGTACAAAAAGAGCTGTTTATGAAAGTACACTAAAACTATCTACCCAGAAGTACACTTTAAAGGGAAATATATTTACTACCAGCTTTAAAGGATAATATGTTTACTACTACCTAGTCTACTAGAACTATTTTCACTAAATCAACTAAATACTTCTATAATAATTCTATATTACTGTTTAGAGAGAGGATTTTTTTTCTCTGAAAAAGTATATATAAAAAAGAAAACTTACCCGTTAATACTCCTGACTGATACATTAACTGGCTGGTAGAATAGTCCCACACCTTTAGGGAAAAAAAAAAAAAAAGATACGCACCTACTTAGACCTTTAAGGAAAACACAAACTTCAACGGCCATCATGTGGTTAAAACAGAGAAATGCAGCCATTGAAAGTGATGCAATATGGTGAGGATTTTTTTCAGCATTTTTTCCTAACTACATAGGGCTTTGTTTAATTGATAAGTATCCATAGTGAAAAAGGTGAAACTCACCTGGTATGGATACACAAAGTACTTAGAAACACTTATTATCATCTTTGCTTAGGTTGATCTCTTAGTAACTTAAGCTAAAGTAATGAAAAGACATACTTGAACTGGTTCTAGATTTCACACAGGGAGCTTGCATAATTTCACAATTTTCATATTGGGCTCTGGGATAAGAGGCCATTATTAATAATAATGATACTTATTATGATGTATAGACCCACATACAAGTCAAATTTCATTATTAACATGACTGTTTCTAAATTATGTATTCTATGCTTAATAGTTGATTAAGAAAGTTAAACAAAACCAAATTTTTCCTCTCATGTTGTTACTTCTATGAGCCTTCCTCTCCACAAATACTTCCACTACATTTATCATAGCTATCACAGCTGGGATTGAAAAAATCACAACCAGACAGTCCCTGCTTTCTAAACATGGCTGTGAGCCTTTGTTTAGCTCCCAAGCTTTTCTCTTTGTTCAGGTTTCATTTCTCTCTGAATATAAACATCATTCTTCTGAAAAGCTGTTTCCAAAGATCTTGTTTCACAAATTTATCTGAAGAGCTTCTCACCTGTTTCACCACTTCTTTAGCCAAGTAAAAGGGCTAAGGGAGCATAAGGTTTTGGACACTGCAAGTCCTGCAATCACAGGAGCCAACTATCATAGACTCCAGCATGGCTGCCCTCAGAGAATTACCCCTGATCTGCAGAATCAGGCAGAGAAAATAAAACTTGAAGACTTACTAAATTATTTGAGAGACTTGCAAAATATTTTCATTTGATTGTCATTTTACTCCCAACATTTATCAAGGTTAAAAAAACCCCAAAAACTTTTCATTAGGATTTTGTATAATTTATCAAGTCTTCATTAAATTAATATGAAGAAGCATATAGATCTTTTCCTTCAGTCATTTTTACCTTGATTTAGTTTCTTAGATCAACATAAACAAAATAAGAAACAATCAATCAGAAAGTCAGAATTATTATTATTTCCTAAAATTCCAATTCAATCTTTGCCTTTTTTTGTCCAAGACCAGGACAAAAATCAAAATCACATTTTCTCCAGAACAGTTAGTTACATAAAGACTAAATTTAGGGGGAAAAAAAAAAAAACCAAAACATTTGATATAGCAACCTTTAACTTTACTTTAGCTTGTAGAAGCAAATGTTGGGCTATGTTTAGAATTATACAGAGGATAATCAGTAGTAGACTAAACTGTATCTAATCAAGGTACCCACCCCAGTATCTCCTGGAAGATATACCTGGGTTCACTCAGGCTCTTTGTTTCCCCTTACTGTCTAAGTTGTCTTCAATTGTCATCATGTACAGCAGCAGCAATCCATGGTATCATCATATAAAATGTTGTCTGGCAAAAAATCCTGCCAGCATGCAATAGCCCAGCCATTGCATGCAATAACCCAAAACAATATTCCCGAAAGGGAAAATTCCAGTCAATGTCAGCAGACTCAGAGTGAAATGCTTTCGTTCAGTTCAGCATACTGAAACACTTCAGTTACAGCCAAACTGATCAAAATATTTTATTTCCATTTGCCAGATTATAATAATTACCAAAGTTAACACTTCGCTGCAGAAAGTTTTGGATATACAAAACCTGCATTGTTCTTTTAAAAAGAGTAATTAATTTTTAAAATAATTTCCCAAGCAACTCTAAGAACAATGTCCTGGATCTCTATAAGTCAAAGATGTTTTTTGCTTGATCTTCAGAAAATATTTAAAGGGAAAGAAAGACTACTTCACATATTCACTAAATTATATTTTTTAAAAGTGCAGGTCTACAATTTCCTTGCCTTAAAAGTTCTGTCTTCTGACACTGATATAAGCATACTTTTCTCCCATGTGCAAAATTCAGCAGCAGTCACTGGAGCTAGGTGGCCATCCAATTCAGCTAGTATAGCTTCATTCTGTGATTAGTCAAGTCAAAATAAAAACAGATTAAATTTCAAACTAAAAGTGACAATTAGTTAAATGTTTTAATAATTAATAACTGTTGCTAAAAATTGTCAGATTAAGATTAAAAATATTAATTAAATAAGATTTTTCTTATTGAAACTGCAGCCCTGTATATCATCCTGCTGGCAAAACCACTACACATTACATTTGCTTCTTCAGATTGAATGATACAGGAGTAAGTTTTCAGATGTCCTCAGCGTGTTTTCTTCTTCTAAGTTATTGAGATATTGTTTCACTTCAACTTTTTTAATCTAGTCTTCTATCTGGTGTATGATGCATTATCAAGCATTACCTCATACTTATTTTCATCTATGTGATAAAAATTAATGCTTTTGCTTAATTATTCTGACATTTCTGTATCATGATTTTGTTTGAAAGTGAATAAGTTAAAGAATACCAGCACCATGGCTAGAAAGAATGGTATCTCACCTTTGCACTTAACATGTAGATCCGATTTCCAGCACATACTGCCACTTGTTGATCATCCGGACTAAATCTTACATGAAGCACCATTCCCAAAAGAGTTCCTATAACAATTCCTCGAGGTGTTAACCCTGCAGCAATTTTATTGTTATTGAGACTCAATGAAATACAAAACTCTGGTGCAGTGAGATTCTTAGAAACTTTGCACAGCAGTTATCTAACCACAGAGCTACCCCAGTTTCTGTCAGGAAGAGGTACAGAACAACCCACAGTTTAATTGTTCCAGGCTATTGGAAAGAAAAGCACAGAACTATGCACCAGCAGGATTCCTCCATCTGCCTTGTTGCCTAGACATGACCTGGAACTCTTTGAGGTACTAATAAGTGTGCCCATCAAATCGTGCTTCCATCGAAGACTGCCAGGGACAGGATTTTTGGAGTAGGGTGATGTGCCGAAGGAACCCAGTAGTGCCACGTTCATTTTGGAGGCAAGAAATCCTGACTGAAGCCCAGCAAAACAGGGGTTTGAAAAATGCTTCTTCCAGGAGAATATCCCAGCCACTCAGCCATCAAGCAAGGGGGACTTCCCCTCTCTTGGTTTTACTTAGAATCATAGAATCATTGAGGTTGGAAAAGACCCTAAGATCATCGAGTCTAACCATCGACCCAACACCACCATGCCCACTTCTTCTGGGGGAAAGGGCTGAAAGAGGAAGTACACCACTGAATATCATTACAGAGTCAGATGACAAGACTAGCTTTGAGAACAGGCTCCTGTTTCATCCCTCTCTTCATGACTTCATTCTGGTCATCTCACTGGTTCAAGCAGGCTGGTTTCTGCAGATCCCTATTTTACGATGCTACCTTTAACTATATGAGGAGATTTTGGACATCTCATTAAATTTTAGGATTTCACAGGCAATAAATTAACTAGGACACAGGCACAACAACTATAGATGTCCTTTTCTAGGTTTTATCCTAGATGCTGTGGAGTGTTTCTACAATCGATTAACCTGTCAAGATCTACCAGGATGGAGAGATGGATCACACAAAGAACTCTTTAGCTACCTTGATATAGTTGATAAGCATATGGTCAGAGAAAACATGCCAAGACCGTGCGGAGAAACACTACACAGCATCTGCTGAAGAGCCTGTGGATAGAGACAAAAAGAGAAAGAAGAAAATCCAGCAGCAGGGAACCTGTCTCTCAGATGTCTTTGTATTCAAACTACACATACTCTTTATCTGTCTGCTACTGTCTATTCCTAACTTCCTTTTTTTGTTCCCTCCAAATTCATAGCCCCATTTTATGCCCACTCCCTGAAGCATTCTTTGATTCTCTGTTACTCTTACATGGATTAAAATGTAATAATGACATTTATTATAAAAGCACTTAAAATGTTCACTTCCTTTTACAACATTAATTTTTATAATATGTAGATTTGCAAATTCAGCATGGAGTAGAACACAAGAGGCAACTCCCACACATTAAATCATAGGCAAATCTCTAACTACAGGTAACAAAGAGGAAACTTTTAATAGGTTGGACAATGCCATGCGATTCTCAATAGTGACACCAAAGGGTGACTGCAATACCTCTCAGTTATCATGCCATAACAATATATTTTGGACAGAGTGTCATTGAGACACCAGTGAGTCATGACTCTGGGGGTCTTGCTCCCTTTCTTTCTCTTGCATTATTCCTCTACTTTCCAGCTGATTTAAGCTTGAAGAGGAGTTTAGCACTGCTCCCTAGAATCTAACTCCATTGATTGAGGCTGCAACACAAGATGGTGGTCAGGATACTAGAACTTCTCTGCTTTCTTTGTGTTATGTCATCAGAACTCTCTTTCACTCATGCACTCTCCTCCCAAATCAGAGACTTGCATTGCTCCCGCACACACATGACAACAGTGTTCAGACAGAGGCAGGAGAGGAAGGACCCGACAAAGCAGGATGTAAAACGCTAGTTCTACAGATATTCCAGAAAAGGTAGCATTTAGTTATATTGGCCTTGCATGCTTAGTTATGCAGTGCTGCTATGATTAAAAATTTTGCAGTCCCTTTCATTCCACAGTGGTAGAACTTAACTGCCTTTGCAGTGCTCCTTGCGTTTCCCCTGAGGTTGCCAGCACTCGCCTATTCCCGCGCAGCACCTTGGCCAGCTCCCGGGGCCGCCCCGGCGGGGCCGCCGCCACCCACCCGCCCGCCCCCGGCACCCCGGGCC